ACGAAAGAACATCACACATTCACACACACATACACACATACACACACACACACCTCGAGCCTTAGACGATCACTGTCCTCAATCGGTGTTCCACTTTCTATTGATCCAACCGAAGCCGGAGCTGATTGGTCAGCCGACTCTCCGCCACCCTCCGCGTGACCGACCGATTGACGCGCCGCCCTGCCAGCCGTAGCCCCGGTGTCGCCGCACCTTGCAAACTTGTTGGGACTCAAGTCGACGACGCGATCCTGTCTGGTTGAGCGCAAAATCGTCTCCTCCGCCCCGTGGGCCAGACCATACAGCTCAAATAAATCCATACGGCCTCATGTGGCAAGGCTGGAGGAAAAGAACCGAGAAGAAGCGGTACGTAAAGCGACGAAACGAAACTAAACGAAACTAAACTAAACAGTTCAACTGCTGAACACATATCCCATGTGAGATCTGTTGGTATTTTCGAAAACCTATTTACTCGCGGAAAATAAGTAGTATAGTCAGTTGCTATTTTAAATATAACTGTGCCTAATCGACAACAGCACGACAGGAATGTGATACGGGAAAGACATCGGGCTCGATGACATTCACTCCAAGGGACTGTTGGCATCGTGGCGTAATGATCAACATGTTGAGACGATATGCTGCCTCAGCACATCTCAGGTTTGAGTCTCGTTGTCAGCAACGGTGGACCCGGTTCGGGCGATGTGGAAGCTACAGTCCACTCCTGTCAAGGCTTCATTACTTTAAAGTGAAATTGTATTTGTGTATTAGGAGAGCATCCGTGTTGGGGTCTGACTGAATGACGCGCTGGTCCCTCCAGCGTATCCAGATGACATCTTCCACGGCGCCGGTATCGCACTCGCTCGATGGCTGCCATCGGAAACATGATTGTCGTGTTGTGTCGCTATGGCAGTAGTCTCGAATGCCATCGTGAGTAGCCAAGAGGCGATGCTGATACGATGACGACTGTGCAGTTGGGAGAAGAGGCAAAAGCCCATTAGAAGGTCTGGTATTGTGACAACATTTGCTCATACAAGGGCAACAATTTCAGCTCTCGCTTCTACCTCGCCGTCGATGATGATATCAAATATTGAGACATTTTGACGGACAGTAAATAGAAACAAACATTTGTTGATTTAACTTAATTAATTTGCATTAGATGATTCAGGTAGTAGTGAAAAAGTATGTAATCTCGTTTGAAAATTATCAACTGAATAAAAATTTTCATTACTTTTCACAATAAACGATGATACAAATACTGTTCTTGGTGGTCGGCTCGGCTTTTTGAATCGCAATGTACGTGGGGTCGAATTGATGGGACTGAGTCATACATGACACGTAAGTAACCTGACTCTTAGGTCCGGTTGAGTAGCTCTATCAATCAAGCATGATTAACACTTGCCCACATTTGAGACTACATTCATTACTTTTCGAATTAAGTATTGTTTTTCGTGACAACCAGTAAATCAGTTATAAGATGTATTCACCCAAGTTCGTGTAAGGTGATGAAGGACTGGTAGGAGTAGAATTTTCCCACAGATGATATGAGTTGAGCTGACGCTTTCATCGAATTTTTACATAGCTTTGCTCTCCCAAAAGTTGTTCTTATCCAGGCACCAGTGGACTGCAGTTTCCACCTCGCATCGGTCTCATCAACATCCTCAGCGGGACTCGAACCGCTCTCATCCAGGCAGCAGTGGACTGCAGTTTCGACCTCGCATTGGTCTTATCAACACCCTCAGCGGGATTCGAACCGCGACAGTGGAGGACGGTAGCTTGACACGCTAACCACTCGGCTACACTGCCACGAGTAACCTTGAGTCACAGGGCATAAGTGAGTTTCAAGGAAGGGACTGAAGTTTCGACCTCGCATTGGTCTTATCAACACCCTCAGCGGGATTCGAACCGCGACAGTGCAGGACGCGATATGAGTTGAGCTGACGTTTCCATTAAATTTCACATAGCCTTGCTTTCCCAAAAGTTGTTCTCTTCCAGACAGAAGCGGACTGCAGTTTCGACCTCGCATCTGTCTTATCAACACCCTCAGCGGGAGTCGAACCGCGACAGTGCAGGATGGGAGCTTGACACGCTAACCACTCGGCTACACTGCCACGAGTACCCTTGAGTCACAGGGCATAAGTGAATTTTCAAGGAAGGCCAGGCCTTTTTGCCATATCATATGCTTTTTGTGGAATTGTCAATGAAGCAAACGTATGTTTTGCTATAACAATCGACTACTATACTTCATTTTTCGAATTAATTATTGTTGTCGTGACTACCAGTAAATCAGTAATATGAGATGTATTCACCCAATTTCGTGGCAGTGTAGCTGAGTGGTCAGCGTGTCCAGCTTCCA